AAGCAAGCAAGCAAGCGAGCAGACAGACGAGTAAGCACGCAAGCAAGCAAGCAAGCAAGCGAGCAGACAGACAAGTAAGCACGCAAGCAAGCAAGCAAGCAAGCAAGCAAGCGAGCAAGCGAGCGCACGAGCGCAAGCGAGAGAAGGAGATGTGAAGCCAAGTGTTGCCGGTGCCTTTGAAGCTTTGGAGGCTTCGTGTTTGTGTCATTGGACGGTACATCCATTCCGAGCAGGTTACTGGTACCCAAACTCGGACACTTTATGAAAACCACATGTAGAAAAACATAGATATGAAACAGGAAGTCCATGCTTCCGGAGTCATGAAGCTGAAAACACACACACAAACAAAAAACTCGAACATGTCAGGAGATGAACGAGCAAGCTGAAGGTTGTGAAAAGCCCGCGGAAAGAGTTTGCCAGCTTGCAAACTGCTCACGTTTGAAGCCTGGTCCTATCAATGTATATTATATTCTAACCCAGCGGAACACTCCGGTGCCAAGCATCCCGGCTTGGACTCCTTTTCATCTTCGCAAGTTGCCTCGCAGGGCTCCAGCGGGAGCGGGGTGGTCTTGAGGCTCTCATGTGGGCATAGGGAGACCTGATTGGGCGATGTCTCTGCATATTCCTGGATTCTGCGACTCCTCCATCATGCACCCACTCTGACCCTCACACCTTGGACTCCAGGTCGTCGTCATCATCAAGGGCAACGTCCTGTCGTCTCTCTGGGGCTCTCAAAACTTGCAATGGGAGGTTGGGGTACTTGTCACTGGCAATAGGCTGGAGGGAAACCGGGCCCAGTGTATCAAGGGTTTAGTACTCCCATAGCTCGTTGCAAAATGAAAGCAGTGACGAACAACTCTAATTCATAGGAGATGTTCAGTCTTCAATTCCAGTTGGCTGCAAAACAAAGGTCGCTGCATGTATGTAAGTCCCAAGCAGAGGTGCGATATCAAGTTGCATACCGACATCGAAATGGGTGGATGGGGTTCCCTGTAGATATGCTCAAAAGGGAAGAGAGATAATGACAAAAGTGATCCCGAACGTCCTGCTACGATTCCCTTTGAGCGGCCTCACAATGAGACCTGCAGGCACGCAGGCACGCAGGCACGCAGGCACGCAGGCACGCAGGCACGCACGCAGGCACGCAGGCACGCAGGCACGCAGGCACGCAGGCACGCAGGCACGCAGGCACGCAGGCACGCAGGCACGCAGGCACGCAGGCACGCAGGCACGCAGGCACGCAGGCACGCAGGCACGCAGGCACGCAGGCACGCAGGCACGCAGGCACGCAGGCACGCAGGCACGCAGGCACGCAGGCACGCAGGCAGGCAGGCAGGCAGGCAGGCAGGCAGCAGGCAGGCAGGCAGGCACGCAGGCACGCAGGCAGGCAGGCACGCACGCACGCACGCACGCACGCAGGCACGCAGGCAGGCACGCAGGCACGCACGCAGGCACGCACGCAGGCACGCAGGCAGGCACGCAGGCACGCAGGCACGCAGGCACGCAGGCACGCAGGCACGCAGGCACGCACGCAGGCACGCAGGCACGCAGGCACGCACGCAGGCACGCAGGCACGCAGGCACGCAGGCACGCAGGCACGCAGGCACGCAGGCACGCAGGCACGCAGGCACGCAGGCACGCAGGCACGCAGGCACGCAGGCACGCAGGCACGCAGGCACGCAGGCACGCAGGCACGCAGGCACGCAGGCAGGCAGGCAGGCACGCACGCACGCACGCACGCACGCACGCACGCACGCACGCACACACACATGTCCCAACAAACCCCAAGAAAAGAAGCAACCTCATCATGCTAAAGTCTCGATGTGCCATGTGAAACAACCAAGGACTCCTTGTTCTTCTCGTCCTTGATGTTGGCAAGCAGCTGAGCCTTGGAAGCTCTGCTCCGCACTTTCAGTTCAGATCTAAGTTCTCTTTTGAGCGCAAGTCGGGACACAGGACCCAAGCGAGCATGCACAGGAAGTCACCAGTAAGAGAGGCCAGCTTGGATTGCATGGCACAAAGCATGCGGGAAACAAAACCAACACCTGCCTACAGGAAACCAAACAGAAACACATGCTCAACGACCAGGTTCACCTTGCTCCAGCGTCTGAACAGCAGTTGTGTTTAAGCTTGCACTACAGCGATTGCTAAATTGCATGCGGTGCTCTGCTGAATTCCAGCAGCCTGTTGCAACTTCGCCCTGAGCCGTGGCAACTTCCGTAGCGAAATCAGGGCGGGAAAGGCATAGCCACCAGTGCGGCAATCAGGAAAGGGCTAAAGGATGCCCTGCTTTGTCAGCACCTGATCCAAGCACAACACTGCCAAAACAGAGGCTGTCCCAAACGAAGCAACCTACCAATCAATTCAGACCTGTGGGAGCCAGCCCACATCCTTTGCAACTTCCTCGACACTATGCGCATCTTGGCGCCGAGCCGGATCCAGAAAAAACATTGTCAAGGGCCTCTCGGAGCTTCTCTGAGCATCCTCCTGAACTGCCGAAATAGATGCCAGGCTAAGCAATACATGTATATTTATATGTACGCGTATATATATATATATATATATATATATATATTTACGTATATTTACTGCTAGCAAGAAAGTCCCCAGGGACAAGAGAGATCGCCCATGTTCCAAGGAGACCCGCGCCAAAGCTGGCTGCTGCAAGCCTCCTGCCTTGGGTGAGGCTGCAAGCGGCCAGCTGTGCGTGCCTACATCCGAGTCTCTGCGTTCGACCTGACAGGGCAGCCAAATTGTCAGAATGTGAATGCTCTGTGAGACTTTCTGCACTTATTCCCTTGGAGCTTGCTAGAACTGACCAGAAACAACGGGCTGTGCCCGGGAACAAAGTGGCAACAGTAAGTCCAAGCTTCCAAATGACTCTCTGGCCACCTAATTTGCTTGAAACAGGGCGTGTCCAATCAGCAGCAAGTGGAGAGGCGGACATTCAATACTCTTTCGACCAATCGCTGAGCAGGGAGCCAGCCTGAGGCTTGTTTCACAGCGTGTCTTTCTCAAGCTTTTCAAAAGGCACGCATACTTTGGCCTGGGTGAAACCGCAGTTGGGCCTTTGAAATTTGTTGAACTAAGTTCTTCGCCAAGCTTTGAAGGGGTCAGGAAGTCAAGAAACCAGCAGATTGTGTATTCACGCAGCTCCGATACCATGGCCTCCGCATCGTAGCGGACGCGCCGCGCAGGCATTGATTCTATGCCCTCAGAGGGAGTCTCTGTGCGGGATACAGGCGGCACGCCCTTGGCAACCTGGCACCGGCAACGGGCTACGCGCGCCGGCCATGGTGGTCAATGACAGGACAATTGGAGAAGCCACCACCCCAACTTTGACGAATGTCATCCCGACGCCAAATTCTGGTCTTGAGGTACAACGATGGAAGCCACAGGGCAAATGGCAAGGACGCACAAGATTCGGAAGCCACAATGCGATTGACATGGATATGTTGCTGCTTCGTGGCATTGTGGTGCAGCGTGGGGTCAAAACCCTGTACCACTGGTGAACATCAACATTGGTGGCAAATGGATGTTCATCCACCCCGAAATGGAGCCACAGGTTATGCCCCACGCCCATATGGCCCTGACGGCTTTTGGCTGCACATTGCAGTTGCCCACCCCCAGTTTTGAGCTTCCGGCGGCAGCTGACACGGACCTGGGCTCAAGATGGGCCAGTGTCTGTTTTGTTCGACCCCCCCCCTCAGCGCAAGCCCTGCCATTCCGTGGGAAGGCCAGCCGCCCAATTGCATTATCGGCTCATGCATCTTTGCTCTACCGCCCTCACCAGATTCTCTGGCATGGATGCATTCGCAGCGTGCTGATACCAAAGGCTGGATCAAGTACCCGGCTGGCCAGAGCCTGAAACCTCCCGCTGCAGGTTGTCCCTGGCAGGGGACAAAGAGCTGTAATGATGTGCTCATCTATTTACAATACTGCAAGCAGTTCCCACTCTCAAACAGCTTTCTGCAACACCTTTATCGACCCGAACCTTCGCCCTGGGCAATGCACAAACAAACTCCGGGGCCGCAGCTTCTCAGGCAAGCGGATCGGCAGGCCGAAAGAAGTAAGGGTGTTAGCCTGGGCAACACAAAGTTGCTGATGAGATAGCCAGGAAACTAAATGACACCTTGTGATGGCACTAATTGCCGAGTGGTGAGACAGCTCACAGCAATGGAACTCCTACTCATTGCAGAATGAAACAATGACACATGAAATCTGTGAAAAGGAAGGAGAGAATGGACACGAGCTTTGGACACAAGGACCTTTCTGAGAATATCCATATTTGTGTATATTTCTTGGGAAGTACCCCTGGCATATCCTGGCATAGTTGAGTCAGGCTGCCGTTTCAAAGGTTCTTGACGGGCAGGAACCGGAACTCTCCACTTCAGCTCCAGAAACAACCCCAAGATGGCAAGCAACGGCAAAGCTGGGGTCGACCCCCAACCGCCTGCCCAGAACATTCCTCAAAGCTCTATGCAGGAACACCCTTTCGCAGTGGAAGACTCGACGCCATGTTGAAGAATACTTTGCCGTGGTGATTGACATCAACAAACGCACAAGGAAACGAAACACCTAAGCGCGAACCTTCTGTATATTGCCCAGTTGGCTTGGTTCCGTGGCACACGGCACACGCATGCACACATACAAACACATACACACCCACTCAACCAGGGCTGTCAGATCAAAAGCCCCAAGCAACACGTAATAGCAATGATGGCCTGTTGATCAACCTGGATCAAGCCACCGGGTTCGGATACATTGGGAGCTTATCTGTTGCAGTTTATGTTTTGGCAACAGCCTGGTCTGAGCAATCTGGTGATTGCGCTTCTCTGTACTCTCCGGCTTCGCCAGAAGCAAAGAAACGGTAAGTTGGGATGAACGTGCATCGCTCGTTGCTCCCGTCTTTACATATGGCTAAATTCGACCGAGCTGGGTGAAGAGCCCTGTAAGCTTCTCCACCCTGCTGAAGATTCATCAGCTTACGCTTCTTGCGCTCAGCATGGGTTGCAGGCGAAGACAAAGCAATAGTAAATGCCTCCGAAGCCCAATTGGCGGCCATACTGGCAATACTTGCCGCAGCTGCACTGCAGGTTCTGCGGTTCACCAGTGCTTGGTGACCAGTCTGCGGACCGCAGAGTCGTGTTGCCAGCCTGGTGGCCCTTTACAGCTGGCTGCACGCTTCCTCGCAGAGTAGCTGTAGCTGTAGCGTTGGTGGGGTTGGTGGAGTTGCAGCCATGGCAAGAACAAGATTGGCCAAACCAAGCATCCTCCAGCTTCTCACACGTGAGGCCGCAACTGCAAGATACCAAGTTGCCCCAGTGAGTCTCATTGCTGGGGGCAATTTCTGAGCTGCCAAGGGCCACCATCAGCAGCATGGGCAAGGCACGAAGGCTCGTCATGGCCATGCTGAAGAAGCGCTAAGAGCTATCTGATGGAATCTAGAGAGCCACTCTGAATCGCGGTCAAATTGGCACAGTCAGCACCCACAAAACAGGAAACAACGCGGAATAGCAATGATGGCCTGAGGTTGATCAACCTGCAGGATCAAGCGAGCGGGTTCGGATACATTGGGAGCTCAACGACAGCCTTTGTGGATTGCCTTCTTCAGGCTCCAGCATCCGGCTTCTTTCGGTTGCTCTTACGTGGAGCGGCCTGGCAGAGTGAGTCCTAGCCCAAATGGAAGGATGCCGCAGCTCCAGCTTTTACAAGCTTACAGATTAGCAAGTCTGTATGGATTCAAGCACGATCTGCGTGTGACTCGCTGGACCGGCTCGCAGTTCCCAAAAAGCTAGAGCCTCAACAGTGCTACTTGGACCCGTGCCTTGGCTTCCAGTTCCTTCAGTTCCTTGGGCAGCGGAGGCCGGCCGGGCGCCTGCATCAAAGGCGAATTTTGGCGCTCCCACTATGGGGCAATCAGAGTGAGAGCCTCTGAATGCTTCACGATCACGCTTCGAGGAAGTTCAAACCTATGCCATCCCGGCCTTCTGCGCTGAGTTGCCTGCAGCATGGTGAGCCACGATGCCGTGCGTGCTACTTTGGTGAATCGTATCCCGGCAGCCAAAAGGGGTCTTGTGAGGCTGCATCGTGCCCAACCGCCAATTAGTGCAGTGGCCAAAGTACCAAACTCCCACGGCTGCTACAGCTTCCAGCCTGGTGCCATTGCGCACGCACCAGCCCCACGCCATGATGTTGGCGATGCGTTGCGTTCTGTGCTGCTTCGCTTCTTGAGCTGTTTTGTGTGACGCGCAAGGCTGCGGTGCTATCAAAGTGCCATTTGCAATGACTATCAATTGCTACATTGCGTTCTTCCGCATGGCTTCTGATGGACGGAATGCTGGGCCTGCTTTGGCTGACTGTATCACCATGTCACATCATGGTGCCACCTCTCTGACTACTTTGGGAACTTGATCGGTGCCGAACACCCAAGTGCAGCGTGTCGCCTGCCTTTGTCCGCACAAAAGCAACCACCCTGGGGCACGCCTCTCTACAGGTCATTCATTCATCGGGTATTCCCATACAGCAAATTGAAGAGGACCTGGAAGTAAGTGAAAGCAAACGAAGCAAAACAACCCAACCAAGCCCAAGAGCCTATGACTCAGATTGCTGCTGGCAAAAGTGCTGGCCCTGGAGTATCATGGACACGCCACGTACTCATCACTGAAGCTGAACACAAAAAGTTCAAAACTTAAACATGGCATCCGAAGCCATCTTGGTTTTTTGGGTGAATGTATGGATTCTCCAGGATATGGCTTCTGCCCGAGGTTTTGTATTGATTGCATTTTTCGGGCCATGTATGCCGTCAGATCCAGGCAAGCATAAATGAAAAGCTTCGCCAACACGGAACCTGAGCCAATCGGGATTCTCACTTCTGACAAGCTGTGTGAAGGAACTGACAGTGGAATCATGGGAAGAAGTCATAAGTTGGACATGTTCCATGTTATCGTGTATATACATATATAACATATACAATCATGTATATATATATATACACATATTATCCTTGACATTGACCTGGAAGCCTGTTTTATCTGGGGACGGATGATGTTACTTCTCCACAGGTGAACATGGAACCCACCACCGAGGAAACTTGTCCACATTCAGCGACCATTCCTTGACTGGCCTTTGGATATGATTCGTGGTTCTGCCACGCATCATTAACGTGATACTTCCAGATCCCGACAATTCCTATGCCTATGGCAGATCAAGATATTTGCCAACCGGTGTCATGTTTTCTCCCGAAAAGGCACCTTCTCAAAGTTGCGCTTCCCAATGCTGAACAAGTGTTGTGTCCACGTTTTGCTTTCGCTCCTGCCAGGCACGCCCTCAATCATGTGATGCAATGCCATCTTTGGGCATGCCCTCGAATGGTGTGCTGGCTTTGCTTTCAGCGAGGAATTGATGTGGGTGCCCGATAGGGCACGAAGCTCCGCTGCGCACCACGGTCCGGTCAGCTGACAAAGTCTTCTGGCCTGGCATGCAGAGATGCGTTGCCTTGCGACTATATACTGCTTACTACCATCAACAGTGCATGGGCCCATGAATGGCAACTGCAGAATTGTCGCATTCCGAGTAAAGCGTCTCACCCGCTCCGCACCTGGAGGTCTCTCTCACCAACCCTGGTGATGAGCCATGGCAAGGATCACCAAAGGCCAGCTGCCTGCAGGCTAGGGTTGTGGAGTCATTTGTGTGTGTACGCGCGTCTGCTGGGCTCTGGCGCAGTCATGATTTCTGCGCGAATGACAAGCGGGGAGTGCGCACGTGTGTATATATTATGACAACGTCGGGCTCTGCTCGCAGTTCGCCGGCCTGACCCACATCTCAAACAGCTCTCGAGGCGTCTTCAGGTCGTGGGCCACCACAAGGTGTTCTGCCAAGATCGGCTTCTAGGTGCATGGGGGATCAAGGGAGCGCAAAACAAACGAAAAGAATTGGATCGGCTCCACTTGCTTGCGCCGCAGGCAGGGGCAGTCAATGCATGGCAGAAAGATATGTGTGTTGGTCCAGGTTTTTCATGCCAGCCTCGGGCTTGCAACTACAAGCTCGCTCAACCCTGAAAACGAGTCTTTCAAAAAACGGCCTTAGTTGCAACGCTTCTGGCAAGCACATGGGTACGAAACGCCCAACTCGCAGGCAGGACCACCGTCGCAGTGATCCCCAAGCCGCCAGTCAAACCACCTGATCAAGTGTCCGTCTGCGAGGCAGGAAGCATGGCACAATCCACGTGTTCTGTGCAAAGCAAAATGCGTAAACAGCTGCGTCAAAAAGAGATGGAAGTCTTTCATGATTGCTGCTCATTGTCCATAGAATACCTTGAATCAGCGCGTTCTGCGCTGAGGGGCTGGCTCCCGCCCATGGCGTAGAGAATGCTGGCGATGGATCTGCAGCTCCCCAAAGACTAGGCCCACCTTGAGGCTGCAGGAATGACTGGCAAAGCAGCACGCATTATTGCACTGGCTGTCACAAGCTCCAGGACACAAAGGAAGCACACACACACAAACACACACGCGCGCATGCCAAACCAGCACAAGCCGCCGAGTCATCGTCCGAAGGCCAAAGGCGCCACGGAACCACAGCAGCTGGGCCTGATACATTCATTAACCAAATGCTGCAACAAGTGCAACACGTACGGGAAACGTAAGTGCTTAGAGCTTATATCATTCTCCAAGCCAGCATCACCCATTAAACTTCGTTCTTTATCATGCACACCACCTTTCATGTGGGGCATGATCATGTCATGTTTCGAAAACGCCAATTTTGGTAATGACTGTCCATGTTTCCCTGAAAAGGATCGAGACAACCATCCATATGTTTTCCAAATGGCCACGTACTTTGACCTTTCTGTGCGGCTGGAGCACCGCTCATGGCAGTTGCCACCCAGCGCGAAAGCACGCGGTCCAACACCTTGCGGCTCGAGATCCTTTGTTCGGTCGGTTGTCGTGTGAAAATTATTGTGGAATCTTGGAATCAGGACTTAACAAGGAAGCAAGGAGAAAGCAAAGCGTGCCAGTTTCCAACATTCGTTTATCAGGTTTCAGTTTAAACTCAAAGGCTGGTTCCACAAGCGAGTTGGTGTTACATCCACCCCCTTGCTGAAAAAGGCATCAGCTATGACCAAGCCAGGTGTCAACAAATATACTATGCGAAAGCAGGCAAGACATCACAGGCGGCCGCCGCCAATGGTGGTTGGGAACGACCAACTGCAAGTACGCTGGATTCTATTTTGGCTGACTTTGAGTTTGTGAAATGAAATGTCTGCCTGAGCACGGCAGCAGAAGCACTATCTCTTTGAATGTTGGTTGCGAAACTTGCCGGAAGGCAAGGATTCGTGCTAGCGTGGTTTCCCGCTAGTCGGTTCTCGATCTGCGCTCCGCAATCCAGATCCAATCATGTCGGCCAGGCCCAAAGGCCGCCCTTCATCACCACCGGCATTTTCCGGTGCCCGTGCATCGCCTGGCCAAGAGCCGAGCAGTTCTTCTGAGTCGGATTAGTTCCATGCGCCACATGTGTTTCCTTTCTGACAAAATCCACCCCAAGGCAAATGCGAGAAGCACGTCTGGGTGCCATGCATTTTAGCGAAGCTGAATGATGAAGTTCAGGCTTACTTCTTGTACATGCCTTTTGACTTGTTTGGTATGAAAGCGATCCAACTTCCAACAAGCTGGCAGCTCACATCAGCAAAAGCGGCTAGGCCTCGTACTGTGCACCGTCCTCGCTGCTGTGCCCGACCTGAGCGTGATGAGGCTGCTGCTTTTTTGCAACATGATCACGACGGACCCCCCCACATGACGTCTGCGGAAGCCTCATATCAACCTGCATAAGTGTCAGACAAAGTCATGGCCAGTGTAGGCGTTGCCCAGGTACAAGCCCTCGCCTGGCACAACAGCCCAGCGATTGGGTTGCAAGTTCTGAGCTGGATGCCTTCCTCGATTCAAACAAAGCTGCTCCCACGATTCTATGCCTCCAGGCATGAAGCAACAAGACTTCTGATGAACAGTGACTGCGATGGTTTCGGTTGGATGCTAGACTCGCAAAATGCTGTGGATAAATGCCGGCCGCTGCTTCTGCAAACGAATTTGGCTGCTGGTCCCAATACCTCTACTGTCACGCTTGCAGCTCTGGCGCTGAGGACAATGATGTTTCCTTTGCCGTAAGTAGCGCCCTGCTTTCTGTATTCGCTGCTCGGTTGCTGTTGCTCGGTTGATCATAAACACGTCGGCGCTCAGCTATATTTTGGACGCTAACAAAGTTCCCCGATGCTCAGCGACAACTTCAGTCCGAGCCTCTCTGCCCCTTCAGCAGCTCCTGGGTCAGAAACGAAGGCACAGGCGGAGCATCAGCTTTCTTGGCAAACTTCCCGAACAAAATCCGTGGGCCGGAACAGTCACATGTCAAGCACGCTTTCTGAAGCGGCACGTCCGGTATGCCTGAGACTGCCTAAGGCTCCCTGCCACCAGCCGTGGCAAGTGCACCTCGGCAACCCGAGCCCAAAACCCAACAATCCAAGTGACCTGATCCGGGTGCTGGCAAGAACTCTCGTCAAATACAAGCAAACAAGCAATTACCCTTGAAACATGTCACACCTGCGGAACACCAGAGGAGCCCAAAACAAGCAGGCTGGTCTAAAAACTTTTGCAGACGGGAAAACGATAAACAAACATGCGGAGCTTGCAGAAGCTTGTAGACCTGCTGGCTTGCCAGCTTGTTTCAGCATATGAACAACGGCGGACTCCTAAGAATGAACATGATCAGACTCAACGCTACCTTAATAACTGCAATGAACTAGCTCCAAGTCACATGGAGCCTTTCACATCATCTATGGGAACTTCACGTTGTACAGTTGTACAGGTTGACTGGAAAAAAAAAAAAAACATCATGACATGACATGCTTCGGAATATACGATCGATCTCACCACACAAACAATTGAGAGGCAACACTGCCTGCTGGCGACCAAAACCAGTTGCATGCGCTAACCCAAAATGCGTGTAGTGCAGCGTGGGCAATGTTGCGCAAACTTGATGCGCAATGTCCAGCAGCTTGAATCAGGTGATTCGTTCGGCAGAGTACACCATCCGGCAAATCAGCCCGGGACATATACGTCGTCGTGGAGACAGGCGAAGTGTCTCGCCTGAGTCAAGACTTGCACTTTGCCTAAACAGAATGTGAATTGCATGGGGATATTCACATTCCTTGGAATGTAAGCGCTTTTTTAGTGGTGCTGCAAAACTGAGCAAGGGACCATTCATGAGCACCAGAATAGCATGTCATGTCACAAAAGTTGAAGGAACGGATGTTTGAAAAGGCGTATACCCTGTGCACGTCTTATGGTTTTGGGCCACTGCTCAGAGGATATGCAGTCAAGGTCATAAAGTCCTTTAGAAATCATGCAAAGCTTTGCCTCAAAGTTTAAAGGCAGTCTTGCCTTGGCTTCCCTGATTTCGGCAACGATCTGCATCAACTGCCAATCCAAGGTAGCGTGCCCAGCTTGAACTCTGGCTAGTCAAGTTCAAAGCTCAGCTCGCTCTGTGGCCCCAGCCTGTGGGCGTCGCATGAGAACAGCCAGCAGCGCCAGAAAGGTTTTGGCCGCGTGCTGCCAGCCCCAATACACATCCTGGAGCGGGGCTCCAAGAAAACTCGGGCAAGGCAAGACATGCGTGACACTTCCCGGGCACATCACGCTGCGAAAGCCTTGTACGACTCCTGCAGATTCTGATCATGCAGGAGAGTGGAGAAAAGAGAACAGGGAGTTGAGTGGGAGAAGAGAACGGGCAGGGAGGAAACGGACAAAAGAGCCGGGAAACAAGTGGAGAGAAAAGCTGGGAAAAGAGCACAGAGAACAGAGCTGAAGAGCGGGCAAGGAGCAGAGAGAAAAGCGGAGAGCAGATCAGGCTGATGAGCTAAGAGACTAGCAAAGAGAAAACTGGGGAAGTGAGCAGGCAAAGCAGCTGAGAAAGCAGCAAACAGGAATGTGGGGAGAAGCGTGGGCAGAGCGATGAAAGGGTCATAAAGAAACAGGGCGGGGGGGGCTGAGTTTTTTAGATTCCTGGGGGCTGAGTTTTTCAGATTCTTGGGGGCTGAGTTTTTCCATTAAAAACACTAAACAAATACCAAAAATATAAGATCAAGACCCGTGACCTCTTAGATTTATTGGGGCGCGTTTTTGTTTTTTTTGGCTGATGACATGCAAGCACAGATTCATTTTCCATCCAATGAAGACTCAGATGCATCCAGACCTGGAAAATGAGCTAGCTTCAAGCTACACAGAAGACAGCCTGTTGAGAAGTATTTTGCACAAATATCATTGTTGGACACAAATATTTAGCAAACGTGTGTCTGTAGCTAATTTTTGGATAATTGGCATGCTTACGCATGCCAAGATTATAAACCTCAGGGTGCTAACTTTTGGAAGACGTATGTTTGGCACAAATCTTCAACACAAGTTGCATACGTATGCAATATTTTGGAAGACGTATGCTTAGCAATCTGCAAGCAGATGTATGTTTGGGACAAATATTATTGTTGTGTTGCAATTCTGAAACACGTAAGTATGGCAAGCACAGCTTGCCATGCATATGAAATCATAAGAAAGGTAAGATATCGCTGATCTATGCAGCTTTCAGCTGCAAGACTCAGCTCTTTTTACAGTTGGATGTTCAATATTTCAATATACGCATGGGCTCTGCCCATGCTCTTGAGAAAAGACAGCTAACACAAACATATTTAGCGCATAATGAGCTGGAGCAATTGGAGCACAGCTCCAACCTAGTTGCTTGAGCTCAAGAAGCACAAGGTGCAAAGATGAGCACCTGCAACGATATCTGCAGATGCAAATAACATTCTCTGCATAAAGCTGTTCAGCTTTGGAATAAGTGCTTTGGAACAAGATTCTCTGCAGCTATTCGTGTTGCTGAAGAGCTCTTGCAACAGTAAAGCTGTTCAGAATAGATTCAAGTAGACACAAGCCACAAGCAATTGCTTGTGATGAGATGTTACCTGCAGAAGATGAAATGAGAGATGAGATAAATTATCTCCAGTTACCTGGAGTTACCTGCAGAATATCTTGGAAGAGGCTTATGTTCTGTTGATACACATCTCATCATATTATTGATGTCTTGCATCAAGAAAGCTTGCATCAAGAAAGCATCAACAAAGTATCGTCTTCAGATGATGGGCTGTGTTTTTTGGTTTTTTGGTTTTCTTGGTGTTTATGAGCAAAGGCACCAAAAAACCAAAAAAAAACAAAAAAAAACAGACCCATGGCCCTGAACTAGCAGATGCAGATGATGGGCTGTGTTTTTTTGTTTTGTTTTTTTGGTTTTTTGGTTTTTTCTGAAAAAAACTCAGCCCCCAGGAATGTAAAAAAACTCAGCCCCCATGACGACCCCTTCTGTAAAGAAATGTGAGGAGAATGGCAAAGTGTAGGAGACCACAAGGAAGCATAAGAAAGGGCACGGGGGAGAAGAGCGAGGATAAGAGAAGAGCAGGAGACGTGAGACCAGCAGCGCAATGCACTGTTGGAAGAAACAAAATCCGCCGACGCCAGTCGAGCGTGTAGATGGCAGTCCGCAACTTGGTCTTCCTCTTATCAAAGCCAAAGGCTTTTGGGACTGCTATTTTTTGGGCATGCTGCGCTAGGTGTCCAAAACCTGTATTTTTCCAGTCGGCGTTTCGCCCAGGTCTCTAGCCCCCACGCGCTGCCATGAATGTTTCTCTTTTTTTTGCAGATACTAGTGGTGTTGGCCTGTTAGGGGTTTGGGTGGGCCAAGTGCAGTGATACCTTGAGGAACTATTGAAATTCGGCAAGAATGAGTGTTTTCCCAATTCCCCACCTGTACGGAGCAGTTACTGCAAAACATCCCCTGCATTATCGTGCTTTTGGAAGTCTATTTTTATGGTATTTGAGGGGGGTTATACCCTTTCGGCCGAAGTCAGAGCAGCGTTGTTTGCATTCTCGTTAAGAGCCCCGGGTCACCGAGGCAAAAACATTCGAGGCACCCTCTCCTTCCACGCGTTAAGAGCCCCATGTGAAATTCAAGGCACCTCAAAGGGGCGTTGCTTGTTCTCCTTCCACAGGGGCGTTGCTTGTTCTCCTTCCAGGCCCATTGTGACCTAAGCAAAAGGACGTCTTTTTCCTGACCCCAAACTTGAGGTACCGCAGCCGACGTCAGAGGGGCGTCGTTGGGTCTCTTTTCACTTGTTTAGAGCCCCATATGACCTAGGCAAAAAAAAAAGAAGGTCTTTTTCCCTGTGAGCAAAAAAACATCTTTTTCCTTACCCCACGTTCGAGGCACTCTGCAGCCGACGTCAGAGGGGCGTTGTTTGCTCTCCCTCAACACGTTAAGAGCCCGATGTGACCTAGGCAAAAAAAACGTCTTGTTCCCTACCCCAAATTCAAGGCACCCTGCAGCCGACGTCAGAGGGGCGTTGTTTGTTCTTCTTCCACGCGTTAAGAGCCTCACGTGACATCAGCCCCAGTTTATTAATAGGGGACTGTCCACTGGCGTCGGCGGATCGCGTAGCGATTTCAATATCCGAGTGGTCGTATTCGATTGACTTTGACTGGTTAGCTTGCTGCTATGCAAGCAGAAAATTAGCTCAAGCTAGCATGACATCCGTGTCCTCCAGCCAGGGAAGGACCTGCAGCAGGACTTCAGGCGCTCTTCAGGCAATCCCAACTGAAGGGTATTCCATGCAGCATGTCCATGCGAGGATGCAGCATCAGGTGCCAATCGAGACGCACGACTGCTTTGTTGGCTTGCTGGCACAATTCGTGGAACAGGGCAAGCAGAATACCCACTTTAATTGCTTGACTGAACTGCTGAACTGTCCTTTGGGATCTTGACAGGAACTCTCAATCATCCCTGTTGTGCTGCTCAAAACATTAAACAAATTATTCCCCCCAAGACACTATGGTCCCGAACGAGACCCCAGAGAATCTTGGAATTGCTACCTTCATTCCCCCCCTTCCTCGTTTTGCTTCCACTCTTCCTTCCAGCATACCGCGCCAGCAGGTCCGCGAAGGTCTGCTGCTCCTCTGACAGCTGCGAGGCCAGGCCAGGGATCCGCGCCTTGGACAGAACTGACATACAAGGCAGACAGGTCGCATCCCGCATCCCTGAGCCTGCCACCTGCGTCAGCTCCTCGGCCACTACACTTCAACTGCTTAACAGGACTATCCCTCGCAACAGGATCTGCATTCACAGGCAGGTACACTCACCCGGGCTTGGCCGCATTATGCAGCAAAACAGCATCAAGTTTCAAGGCTTCTGCTTGCTTGCTGAGTGCAGCTCGTCTGGCGCACACATCACGAAGGAATACCTTACCTGGCTGAAGCAGCAAACAAGCGTGGAACTTCTTCACTCAAAAGTGGTCTTCAGCTGAAATTGGGGGGGGCTGGAATGGTCCAAGAAATACATTGAGAAGCTACGACGTTTGCTCTCCCGAAACTGCGCAGGTTCTGTTTTGAATACCATAGATTACTTGTCCGACCAGATGCAACAAAACTGACATCATTAGATTCAGAAGGAGCTCAGTCTTCCAATAAAAATACCGCTTATGTCAGCCCTTTTCTGGCATCTGTCGCTCAGCCGTATTCATGAGAACTTCAATCTATTTTGTGCAATCCCAGTTGATCACACACTGACTAAGCTCGTACACCCGTGCAAAAGTGCTGCTGAGAATTCACCTCCTCGCAGCCATCCCAAGCAGTCATCTGTCTGGCGCGCTAAAACGGCAACTAATTCAACGATCCCACGGTTCGGAGCTGCCAGGAAATCTGCAGCACCAAGAAAAATGCCTGGGGATAATCACCTCAAGACCTGATTCAAAAAGGGCAAGATCTTCTGTGCGTGAGATCGCTGGCAAGGAACAATGCTTGTCAAAGGCGCGCACAGCTGCATGTCGGCAACAGCCAACAGTGATTGCTATTTGTGTTGCTTGGGAATAGAAATCCAGCTAACAACGGGAAGTGCAAGTACTTCAAAAAACGAACCTTCAAGGCTTAAATGTGAAAGAGCTGCGCCGGATATCGAATTGCAGAGAGGACCTTCTCCTAGTTATTCTAAAAACAGACTAGCAAGTGCTCTATGTATAGTGAATTTAAGAGAATGCACTGTCGAATTCACGCCTCACATCAGAACTCTCACTCACATGTCTAAAACAACACGCTCAATCTGCGCCGAAGCAGCCAGCCATCACTGTGTTCACTTCATAGTGCGCAAACCTTTCGCCGTCTACTAAAAGTTGCCGTGAATGGGGCGCATCAATGTGACCTCTACAATTTGTGCGGAGTTTTGTGCTCCAACCAGCGGGTGAAAAAGAAATGAAACAAGATCCTTGCAGGTGTTCAGACTGTCCTTGATCTCCAGAACGCCTCTCACGCGTCTACAAGGCTGCGCTTCTGTTGCTTCCCAACAACAATTTGTCACACGTGTCTTCGTCTACAGCGCAACTGTTGGCAAAGTCATGCTATGGGCGACTCCGTCGCAGACCCCGAAGGCATTACAAGCCTCAAGAGCAGAGAACTGCTCCGCCCCATGAGAGCAAGCTGCTGGATCTCGGCCCAACACTAGCTAGGTAAGTGTGCGCTGAGCAAAGAAGCAACTAACATCAACAACACATGCCAAAGGAAGAAATGCTCTTGCTAACCCACTGCAGCAGAAGGCGCCTCCCCTGCAGTAGCAAGCTTGCTCACAAGTGCAAGGCCAGCATTATGTTCTTGCTTCATACTCATGGCAGCGCATGAAACTAGACCAGCGCTGACCCCAAACAGCGCGCGTTCGCAGCTTATAGAGCCGGGTCTTGCAGTTCCACCTTCATGGACAACGACGTGTCTCGCAATGCTTTGCGTGCCACGAATTTGCTCGAAGCTGGCAAGACACGTGTATACGTTATGCAGGGAGACACCGGGAGACAAATGGGTCTGTCTTTTTTCCGACCGCAAAGAGGAACCAAAGAAAAACCCCCACTTTTTTGGAGCGAGGCCCCCAAAACATGACACGCCCAACTGAATCTGTTTCTGTAAGGCCAGAAAGCCGATCCAGGCTACCGAGCAGGGAGACAAATGAGTGCGTAGGAGCGAGTTCGTTTCGGCATGGCCGGTGCCGAGAGACCGACGGCCTCCAAGACATTTGTCCCAGTGAAAGCAAGGAAAGAACCCGCAGCTGCGCAGCTGCTGATTGGGGCATGAATTCCAGCGTGCGTGCCTGCTTGCTCTCAAACCATCCATTTGAGACCTTGCTGGCACTGCAGGACCAGCTCTGTGAAACGGATCAGGCCAATTCAGCCCTATGGCCTTTTTCAAGTTAGAATAATCATGTAGCATGATGCTTTGCTTAGTATCACGTCGAAATGGTGCCGGCAAGACAGCCATGTCCTTAGTGCAAGGCCAACAACAAAAACTGTCCTACAGGCAAACGAATGATCTGTAAATTGGAATCCTTCATTACTTTCAAACAATCTTTGGTTCAGGATACGGCAGGGCTTTTGCATATTATTATTTTTCTGCGCAGCGCTGGGTGCTGCGTTGCCATGAAGCGGGCAGCTTCAAAGATGCAAGGTCGCCAACTTTCAAACACTGCGTGCCTCGCCTGCCTTCCCTAAATGCGTCCCTCTCACCCTGGGGGCACGACTGCCGTAGCGCTTGCCTGTCAAAAGCGCAAACAGCCGTAGAGAATTCCAGAAGCAATAGGTCAGTCAGGTTTGAGTACGCGATCAGGCTGAGACACAGCCACTCTAAACTCACATGTCACTATTTGTCACTGAGGCGAGTGTGATTTCTGAACTTGGGTTGCTGAGTAAAACCGACAGCGAACTTCTATGCATAGGCCAGTACTCAAACATAATGTGGCTGCAATTGTCTAACATGTCCATCAAACCACCTGCCAAAGTTCGCTTGCAGTCAGCATTCAGCTGTGGGCCAACACATTGAATCTGCACCTTTGATTGCGTGGCCAGTCATCGTGATGCTCCCTCGCCCCTCATGGCGCCCACACAGTCGCGCCTTCGTGCAAAATGGCCAGGTGCCGACATGATGAACAGCACCACGCCCTCATCCTCAATACTGCTCGCAGTCCCATGATACGACAAGCAGTGGATTAGCAGGAACAAAAAGAAAAGGCATAGCAATGCAAAGGCTGGGTGGTCTCTCGATTCTTCGTCCATTGCCATGTATGATTCACATCAGCCTATGGCCAGCAGCTTGGTTGATCTACCTCCCTCCCACCCTGTGTCTGGGCACTCGCGCGGGTGCTGCATGCCTTGCAAAACTTGAAGAGGCTGCTGAACGAAAGCCAGCCAGCCTAACAATGACATGAACGACCCAGGAGCCAAGATATCAAGAATGGCAAACTAAAAAGAACATCTAGAAAGCCATTAAAACCGAACCGCCCATGCAAAAATGTGGGCGAGATTTTCTGGAGGCCCCCGCCCCCACCCAAACCCTGATTAAATCAGGCATTGTGGGAAGCTCAGCCCCCAAAAGGAGCTAAAGCTTGGAGAACTCCCGCTCAGGCTACCAAGGGAAGCGGCAGTTGCCTTCAGCAGCATAAAATTGGCATGAATTCACGTCTCTCGCTTGAATGAAGCTGTATCTCAGCTATCCTGGCCCAATGCCAAGCATGAGAAGAATAGGCCCCGACACTCTAAGCGAAGTGCAAGAAGCTCGGCCAGCATACGCATTTGTTGCAACGCAGCATGCGTGCACCCACACAAAAAAGCGACAAGCAGCGAATGCCTGCCTTGAAATCCAAAGCTTGACGGAAGTCTGTGTTTCCGTGTTCAAGCTTCCCAGGTAGCTGCGGTGTTCACAGTACACAGTGAAGGGCAAAGGAGAACAGACTCTACGTGTTTTCTTGGAAATTCCTTCGCGAGCAACTCGCCAGGGCTGCCCCACGCGGCGGCCCTGGAAGCAGCTGCAGCAGCCGGCGCAGCGCGCTGGAAGAAGGCGAGCGGAGACGTGCATTCGACCTAGTGCAAGGAAGCACGGGCCGGATCTCTGTAGCGCCATGACCAAATCAAAAGGTTTCGCGAAAAGCCATCTTGTATCTGCATGCCGTTTGCAGCTCATGCATCGTGGTAGTAGACCGCAATTGTTGCACGGCTGCGCACACGAGGCATGAAGCCCAAATAATGTACCTCTAGGCTGTCAATCGTCTGCCAAGCATGAAAAGCAACAATCCACAGACATGTTCACTGACAAATTCCCCAACTAGCCCGAGGATGCCATTTGTTTCCGTGAAAGGAAACTCGGCCAAATTACGGCAGTGGCAAGATGATCTCGAAACATTGCAAGTGCTGCTTCTCAGCACTCCTCCTGTCAAGCCTCCCAGACACTCCGAGTGGTCAGTTCATGCCCTGCGCAACAGGGCATGGATGGCCAAACTGGCAACATTGCGTTCATATCCATAGCCGAGTCCCCAGGCCGCCAGCTCAGACCTCAGCGATGGCGCTCTTTGCTTGCTGGACAAGTGCAAGGTGACGGAGGTCGCTTGCATGGTTGCTTTGGTCAGAGGCAAGGATTTCAATGATCCTGCTTGGCTGATAAGGCGCAAGCATGACCCCGCCAATCGCAAAGTCAAGACCGTCCATGCCTGCAAAAATGCAGCAAAGGCAAGAATCAAGGGCTCCTCAAAGCATCTCACTCAACATGGCCCAAGTGTCACGACATACAATGAAGTATGTCAGCATGCAACATGGTCACCAAACAAAGCTTACCACAAAATAACACTATCTAACATGGCAACACAAAATATGGTTCGAATCATTTGAACGGTCACTGTGCCCAGATGCTCATTAGAAGAAGAACAACTGGCACACAAGCATAATCAGCCGGTACAAATGTTCGTACACATTAGTTCATATCGTGTAAATGATACATGTTACATATATATATATATATATATATATATATATATGTTATACTACATTGATGTGTAAGCCGAGGACAATAATAGCTGTGTCTGTTCTTCATGAGGATATGCTCAAATTGGGTTGTCCCTCTAGCGTTGTCGAAAACTGGTTGCCCTCCCATGTCCTCCCTAAACGAACAATACAGCTCCTCATACATTCACTACACATCTGGATTCAATGTACCTCTACTTGCAGACGTATTGTAAAAAAATGTGTTTATGCTCAGTAACAGCAAACCACGTACCGAGCAGAAATGCCAGCAACTGCGAAAGTCCCACACCCTCCCTCCCGTCCAGTCCTGCACTCAGTGGCAGCGCAGCCTGTTCCGGCACGCAGCTCCGGCCCAAGTTCCAAGGTTGCAGCCACGTTCAAATGGCAGCTGGTACAGTGATAGGCAAATAGGAAACTTCAAAGTTGTAATGTGGCATCACGACGTAATAGCATCCAAATGCCCATCCGAGTTGGACTGAAAGGACACCCCGCCCCGGCCCATACTTGTGGCCATGTGGCCATGCCCAAAGGCGCCTGAGCGACTGCGGCGGCATCCAGCTCCCTGAGTGACAGGCAAGTTAATCGCATTGTTCGTTGAGTCTTAACGACCACATGAAGGACAAAGCAAGTGCAAAGAGTATTCAAACAACCGCATCTGGATGTGCTGGTGTCTGTCGGGCTGGTGGAATGAATGCAGTCTCCTGCTTGGTTTACCTGCAAATGCCTCGAGTGCCTCCTGATGCCACGAAAAGGAAGAATGGAACGGGATAAGCAACAATGGCCCATGAAGCCCCGCCCAATGTCATGTCAACTCCGTCCTGGCTCGGCAGACTTATCTGAGTACGCTGCTCATATCCCAAGGTTGCCAGACCTGCAATGAGCCGTGAAGCAGGGCCCGAACAGTGCACACCTGATTCAGGTGAGCATTTCATGTGATGGCACGAGTAAAGGGCTTGCCGCAGCCGCCCCTTGAAAACAACTTTGCTCCTTCCAGTTCCTCGAAGGGATCGCTGTCCTGTTTGTTCCCAGGCCGCCATCAACAAAGCTGCACCACAAAGACTCCCACCACTCTCTCAGATAGAGGGGGTTTCTTCAAGGCAGGTGCCTTCGCGAAGGTCTTGAACCTCGAAGTCCCCGCAGCAGGCGGCGTAGCTCTGCCCATTCTGCGGGGCTGGCAGGGTATCAAATCCTACACCGATCAACAACAATGCTTGATATGATCTGTCAACCTAATTGATCAGAATGAGTTGATCGGATATTGAGTATATGCAGAACCGAAAAGTTGCTCATCAATGAGTTATTGAAATATATCCAATTTGGGCACATTGGGGGGTGAAGGGGGCAGCACTGCCCCCACGTCTTGCTGCAAACCCAGTGACTTCAGAACCCAGTGGAACCGGGTGAACAGCCGTTTTGTCACGAGTGAAGGCCAAATCACCCGAAATCTCCATTCATACCGTCCCAGGTCCGCTCCTGCCAGCAGGCCGAGTGGTTGCCCCAGCAGCACACATCTGCGCTGAAGCCTGCACCCCGAGGTCAGAGTGTCAACCCGGATGATGGCAAGAGGGTAGTGACATGCGCTGGCTGGATCACAAACAATCTCCCGAAGACCAAGACCTGCAAAACAGGTCGTGCAGCTGTCGATTGCTTCCGAACTGAGAACCTGGTTGCGTGATCCAAGTCCAGTCCAATTTTGGACCTGCGGACTTCTAGTACGCGCCTGCAGAGACTTTGCAAAGCAGGTTGTGAGTGCAAGCTGATGTGCCCGTTTCCCCATTACCGTACCAGCTGCTTGGCACTCAATGCCGCTCAAGTTTGTGCAAAAGGGCTACAAGTTCTAACAGGCACATCCTGCCGCTGGTCTAGATCAACGGTGGAAAGCAGCAGCTCACCGGATAATCACAAAACGATCATCGGCCTCAGCCCTCCCTTGCCCTGGCCCTTGAACAGGTCGCGCTGGATGCTCATCTCTGCTCCCTTTGCCGGTCTGGGCAAGAAAAGGATGAGACCAGCTTCTCACGGAAGCACGCACTCCGAGGCCAATTGGTGGTAGAGCTTGGGGCTCGCGTAGATTGCCTCACGCCAGAACTGATTGCTGGGACTAAAGGAAAGATCTTTGACAAAGCGCCAAACGAAGGGAGCGAACTTCGCCCAAGCCCTTTCCATATCTTGGCCAAGCTTCTGCGCCACCGAAGTTGCCTCAGGCAATGTTGGCGGCCAAACAAAGGAGTAACAGTGCTCCCCTTCTAGGACCTGCCCTGTTGCGCAGCCTGCCCCTCTTGCAGCCAGGGGCAGTTGACGTTCCATTGCCAGTGCAAATGCAGAACACGTGGACATGCAACAAAGTCTTGGTCCCATCCACATGAGTCGACGTCCTTCTAGTGTTGTTTGAAACCAAACTTGGGTTCTAAATTTTGATACCCCGAGCCAGGGTCTCCCGATTGCCATGCCAGAAGATGCTGTCACGCAATGTTGGTCGGGTTGAATCAAACTGCGATGAGAACTGCTCATCGGCGTTCCTCATAAGCAAGTGCTGAGAAAACAGTCTGAGTCAGCCATGTTTGCCAGAAACAGCCCAACATGCGAGCTCACATCTGGCCATGATGCATTGCGCCAAAGGGTCGACCTTTTCATCGATGTGCTGATAATATCGACTGAAAACCTCAGCTCCCAAAGGCCAGGCAAATGACATGCACCCGCATCGAAAAGCCGTAGAACTGACACCGTCTTTGGCTCTAGATGGACGATGCAAGAGCCAACAACGGTGTTGTGCGCAGACCAGCCGCAAAATCTACAGTGCGAAGCCCTAACCACCCGCGGGCAAAACTACTTGCAGGCTTGAAAAGACGTGAAAACGCCTTGCCCGCGACATTCATTCAAACACCGTGCAAGAACATGTTTGGCGTCATGTGCCTGTTCAAAAAGCTCTCCAGAATGCTCAGCGACATAGTTGTCCTCGTTCATCAGCCATTGGAAAAAGAGCCACCGCAAGTGCTGGATAGGGTGAAGGCTCACACTTGGCCGAACATCCAAATGGGGGTCAATTGGTGTGAACTAAGGTAACCTTCTCGGCAGAATCGACACGGACAACCCAGAAAGGACCCAGGAACGCCAACAAGCACCCGTCTTCCACGACGTAAAACGGCAAACAACACAAACCAAAATAAGAACAACCTAGCCAAAACGAAGCAACCACAAAACAATCGCGGAAAGCCAGCAAATACCCCGCAAAGCCACACCACACTCGCCAGAACCAATCAATGCAAGGGGAGAAACCAGGTTCATGTTGACATGAACTATGGAAGCAACCAAAACAACTAATTAATCGGCACTCAGCTTACCTCCAAGTCTGCAGAAACAGTTCCTGAAGTTTGAGCTCCGAGTGGCCCAATCACCCCGGCATAGGTGGCTGGCATTGCAGCTGCCCATTTTGTCGCAACTGACGCCCGCAGGCAGGTGCTTGCAGCCTGAAACTCCAGGAGTTGCTCAAAGGATCTGTCAAAGGCCACGTTTCAACTTGCCTGTTGGTCCTCAACAGCCCAAGGCACGTCAACCTTCTTGTCGAGTCCTCTCATTCCGGGTCCCCGACCCCAGCGCACGGCAGCCTGAACGGACGATGCTTGGGGCAGAGCAACGCATCATTTGATCCCCAAATGCAATGCTGGAAGTGCAAAGCGAGGTTTGCACATGACTAGAAACCAGTGTTCAGGATCAGGCTTGTCTTTCAGCACACCATTTTCAGAGTCCCCTTCCGTCCACGAATTCAAAGGCGATGGCCACTGAAACCTGCTTCGTACTTCAGCGCAAACCACTCCCAACGCCGGATGACAACAGCAAAAGGCAAATGTTGCTTCTTGCAGCACTTACAGTCACTGGTGGCGTGACTAAGTGCGCAAATATAACTGGCTTTGGCGCGTCAATTTTTGCTTGAAGAACTTTCCCATGCCCAAGTAAAGGTGCTCTCGCTTGACTTTCCTGGCCTCGATTTGCTTCGTCGTGGCATTTCGGTCAGCCACGCAGCGTGCAACTTGACTGAGCTCCAACCAAGGGGGCGGCTGGTGCGAGTCCTGCAAGTCCTTCACCTCAAATAAGGTGGCTGCAAGAGCTTTTTGCCTAGCAGAATACAATGTATACATGAGGGTTGTTCCAAATGTCTCCTCCCGGGCCAGTTTCGCTTTTGGGCTCCCGCCGCGCTTCCGCGACAAAACACGTTATCAAAACACGTTGGCCCAGGCCTTGTCGCCAAAAGACGTTTTCTCAGCCCAAGTAGCTTGTTCAAGTGTAGTACGAGTGTCGCACACTTCCGCAGCTCCAGCTCGATATCAGTACACGAGCAAAAATCGCAAATTCGTAGTACACGTATAGTACGCGAAGTACACTTCCGCAGCTCCAGCTCGAAAATCGCAGCTTTGTGGTACAAGTGTAGCACGCGAAGTACACTTCCGCAGCTCCAGCTCGAAAACCGCAACTTTGTAGCACAAGTGTACGCGAAGCACACTTTCGCAGCCACAGCTCAAAATCGCAGCAGCTGTGTAGCGCATGTCTCGTGCGCGGAGTACACTTCCGCAGCTCCAGCTTGAAAAGCGCAGCTTTGTAGTACAAGTGTAGCGCGCAGTACACTTCTGCAGCTTCAGCTCGAGAATCGCTTTGTCGTACAAGTGTAGTACGCGAAGTACAATTCCGCAGCTCCAGCTCGAAAATCGCAGCTTTGTAGTACAAGTGTAGCGCACAGTACACTTCCGCCGCTCCAGTTCGAAAATCGCAAATTCGTAGTACACGTATAGTACGCGAAGTACACTTCCGCAGCTCCAGCTCGAAAATCGCAGCTTTGTGGTACGAGTGTAGCACGCGAAGTACACTTCCGCACCTCCAGCTCGAAAAACCGCAACTTTGTAGCACAAGTGTAGCACGCGAAGTACACTTCCGCAGCTCCAGCTCGAAAATCGCAGCTTTGTAGTACAGTTGTAGCACGCGAAGTACACTTCCGCAGCTCCAGCTCGAAAATCGCAGCTTTGTAGCACAAGTGTAGCACGCGAAGTACACTTCCGCAGCTCCAGCTCGAAAATCGCAGCTTTGTGGTACAAGCGTAGTACGCGAAGTACACTTGCGCAGCTTCAGATCGAAAATCGCAAATTTGCAGCACAAGTCTAGTACGCTAAGTAGGCTTCCGCAGCTCCAGCTCGAAAATCGCAGCTTTGTAGTACAAGTGCAATGCGCGAAGTACACTTCCGCAGATCCAGCTCAAAAAATCGCAGCTTTGTAGTACAAGTGTAGCACGCGCAGTACACTTCCGCAGCTCCAGCTCCAAAATCACAGCTTTGTCGTACAAGTGTGCCACGCGAAGTACACTTCCGCAGCTTCAGCTTGAAAATCGCAGCGTTGCTGTACAAGTGTAGCACGCGAAGTACACTTGTGCAGCTCCAGATCGAAAATCGCAGCTTTGTAGCACAAGTGTAGCACGCGAAGTACACTTCCGCAGCTCCAAAGCACAAGTGTAGTACGCAAAGTACACTTCCGCAGCTCCAGCTCAAAAATCGCAGCTTTGTAGTACAATTGTAGCACGCGCAGCACACTTCCGCAGCTCCAGCTCGAAAAGCGCATCTTTGTGGCACAAGTCTAGTACGCAAAGTACACTTCCGCAGCTCCAGCTCAAAAATCGCAGCTTTGTAGTACAATTGCAGCACGGGCAGTACACTTCCGCAGCTTCAGCTCGAAAATCGCAGCTTTGTAGTACAAGGACCACAGAAAGCTTCCGCGGAGCTTCCGCAGGGCTTCCGCGCTGCAAACAAAAAACAAAACACATTACATATAATCATGAAAGCATGAGATCTAAACACGTGCTACTTTTTAGGCATAAACTTCCGCCGCGCTTCCGCGGAGCTTCCGCGACTCGAACCCTACACAAACCGCCCAAAATAAAGCGAACCTCATTCTAAAAAACGATGCCAGGGTTTTAGAACGACTCTCACATGAGTACACTATATGTGTGCCTGATGTTGCTGTTGCTCTTGTGTTTACTTTATCGTCTAGCTATTGCATTGCTATTGTCACCTTTGGTCTTCTTGTTCTTGCTTTTCTTGCAGCACACTGTTGTTGTGTTTGGTGGAGGCCGCAGTGGCGTTGGGTGTTGTGGTTGCGGTTGTTCAATTTGTTGCTTTTGTTGTTGGTGCTATGGCCGTGGTTCTAGGGTGGGTTTCTGTTTCGCGGAATTGTTTTCCAGTTTTTTGGTGTATTTTTTCCAGTTTCTTTTTCTAGACGACTTCGGAAAGATTTTCAGGTTGGTTCCGAAGACAAGAATGATTGCCTCTTCGTTGGACAACGCATCCAGTGGAAGCAGGATAGCACATTCGGTTGGTACATTAGGCGGCAAATAATGGAAGCCTTTTGTTGTCTTATATCTTGTCTTTTGACATTCGTTCGGTACTATGGAAGCAAGCTGTTTCTTGTTGCTTGCGACTAGTGCTATTTCATGGTGGAAATAATGCGGCCATGGATCTAGCTTTGCACGGTGCCAGCCTGTTTTTGTCCGCAATATGAGTTGGAATATGGAAAGCGTAGTTTAGCTGTATTTCGGCCCCAAACAGTTGCTGCGCGAATGATCCGGGCTCTAATTCAGCGAGCAAGGTCTCAAAAGGAGGCGCCATGGCAGCGAGATGTCAGTTTTAGAGTGCGCGCGAGACTTGCTTGCTGGCTGGCTTGCTTCCTTGTTTGCTTGCTTGCTTGCGTGCTTGCTTGCTTCGCTTGCTTGCTTGCCTGTTTGCATGCTTGCTTGCTTGCTTGCTGGCTGGCTTCCTTCTGCGTTTGCTTGCTTGCTTGCTTCCTTGCTTTGCCTACTTGCTTGCTTGCTAGCAAGCCCTCGGTTACGGCTAACCCCTTGCTTGCTTCCTTGCTGGTCTAACTAGAAAAAATACGCCGAAAAACCGGAAAACAATTCCCCAGAAAATAGGGGAACCACATCTGGTTTTGAGCTTCTATGTTGATGTTTTCCTGTTGACGCGCCTAAGCAAAGAAGCAGGAATTGAGTCTACATAGTGTTGTCTGACAAGTACACAAAACATAGTAGCGTCTCTGCAGACTTTGTCAACAAAACACTCACGTCTCAACGGCTCGACTTCAAACTCAAGCAGCCAAGGCGCCACATCTTCAAACTGATATCCAGGTCCTCCAACGCAAACGCTTGCCCGGGTCAGAAGGCTTCAATCAGGATTGGGAGAACAAGCGCATTGCGAAAGTGTCAACTGCGCCTTCCCGTTGTCATGTCTCTTGCCCTGTCCCACCCTGCGCCTGTGCCGTGCATATACGCGATGGCAAAGGAGGTAAAGCCATCTTCCTCGATGACATCGCCACCAAGGTGCGCCACCAAGCGCCGCAGAAAATATTTAAGTTTGCCTTGGCGCCCAAGCAAGGCTAGGAAGGAGAGAAGACAAGCAAAGCCGAGTGAAGGGAAAAGGGCGGCGCACCAAACAAGCAGAACGTGTCTGTGCTTAGCACGCAAAAGTGTCAAGGTCAAACACATTGAGCCGCCCGGGGATGCGGATGATGCAAAGCAAAGGCCTCTCACTCTCGCTCTGTAAACTTGGCGCCCGGTGAATCCTATGCTGCCTGCAATGCACAACGGGTAGCAACTCTCGACGTGGCCAAGCTACTCACGCTTTGCATTGCCACGATGAGGTTGTAGCCCAAAGTGGACAGGGGCACCGACTCCTCACATTCCGCTGTCAGGCTGTCAGAGGTAGCTCCAAAGCCCGAATGCACCCGAAACAGCAGATCTACAGCCTTCGTGCCTTCGCTTTTCAAGTCTACAAGCTGAGCTGGGCTCAAGCATGTCACAGAACCTTCGTCAGACCCCTGCTCACTGCCCTTGCTGACTCGCCCACTCCGGCTGCGGCAAGCACAGCTCCGGCACATCTGGGGCGACTCCGCCATAGGCCTCTGGCGATGTTTCCATGCTCCGAGCTGTGCAGTGCCCCTTCAAGGAACAATGCGATATCATCTTCTGCCTTCACCTTGCAACCGTAGTTGTGGGAATAGATTCCGAACAAGAACTGATGCTTCCAAGGGATTTCTCCCAAAGCAAGAAAACCCCGATGACTTTCGCAAACGCTGATGAGCAGGTGGACGAATTGACCAATGGGGTGTGCGTCGTTATCCTAAAGAAGTAGCAAGTATGGAGGAAGCTTTGGTAAAAGCGATAAACTTGCCGTTGATGCAACACCTTGTTTTTATTCTGGCAGAGATCTCTCGCTCCCTCTCAAGGCTCCAGTTCCGTCTAAAGCGCTTATTTCCCCTTGACACGCAAGCCACCTGTGCTACACAACCTGTGTAATTGCACGCCCTGAACCCTCACACCAATTCTCATCAGCTTGTATGCACCTGTTCACCCATGAGCTGGAGAGAAACACAAACTCCTGAGACAGCACGATGAACCTAGGAAGTCAATGCCTGTGAAATATTATGTAGAAACATAGACTGTTCTCTGCGCTTTCTGGAACTCCTGTAAAAGAAACGTTGCTTTGAAAGTCCGCTCTGCCGGACCTCCGATCAATGGGTGCTGCGTTGAACAAACAGCTTGATGGCTTACCCACTTTGAGAGCTCTGTGCACGGTCACAAAGGTAGGCGGCGCCGCGACACGCATGACTCGTCTCTTCTCCTGCCTGCGCAAGTGCCTCAGGCAGCGAGCTGCCAAGCATCGCCGGCTGCAAGCACCAGACGGTGTAATTCATTCCGTCCAAGTAGTCTCAGCTCCAGGTGAAGGCAACCCTGATAAAATGATGTTGCCTATACGTTACCAGGCGCTGTAAAATGACTTGGTCGAGTGAAATGATGTCATGTTCCACCTGCCGCTTTAACCTGTTCATCTTCCACATGTCATACCTTTCCGACGCAAGCTTGCAAGACCATGTTGTTAATGCATTCCGCGAATAAACCTGACCTAGTTGTCATGTAATATCAATGTGCCTCTTACGCCTGCTGGCGAGCCACGCACAGTGCTAATGGGAAAGCCGCCCAGGTCAAACAGGCCGAAGGCCATTTCTGAGCCTCCCTTCCAGTAGGCCACCTGATACCTTGGCTAGGCAGGGTCCCCAAATCGTGGGCATGAAATGGACGGCATTCGGCATGCAAGCGGGGCCAAGCCGGCCAGTTCCTTCAGGGATGCTAAAAGCTTCATTTTTGAACAGGGGCAAGCATCGACAGGTCACTCGAAGAAGGAGATGCCGAGAAAGAGCGGGAATTTGTGAGCCAACTGCAAAATATCCTGCACTCTGGAGCTTCTATCGTCAAATGCTCTCATTTGCTGTCTGGCTCGTGTAGGCTCACAAACAAGCCATGGTGCACAATGCACATGAGTGTCCTTGACTTGCTGCAGCACAGGCTCGCCCGGCTGGTGGTATTCGCCTGACTGCGCTGACTTGGTTGTCTGAAACAGTGTCTAATTGTCCCAGTGCTGTTCCCAAAAAGCCAAGAATCATTACTGGCCCGCATTGTGCCGTCACTTGCACGGGTTTGCTTGTTCCAATTGAAACAGCCCAGGTGCTTCGGCTTCTTAAGTGCCACACCGATGAAAATCGGAGTCCCCGTGAAGGACCTAACATAGTGTTCGAAGAAGTTGTCCTGCAGGTCAGCTGCCTGGGCAAAGTCAGCTGCAGACAGCAAAGCATTCATTATTAGCAGCTATTAGCATTGGCTATGAAGTTGGCTCTGAGCTGATGATGACAGCGAGCTGATGAAAGGCAACAGGCTTGCTTCGTATCTCTCGCCAAGGAAGAATTGAAACGCAGCCCAGAAGCACCATTTGCAGTGTTGAAGCTGTTGATCCACCTTCGGCGATACGCCAAATAGAGATCATGCTTGGGCTCGTAGCCATACTTCTCCTCAGGCGGTTACATGACGTGTTGGCCCATGTTGGTCTTGAATAACCAAACTGAAACAATGCTTAAAATGTCATGGCTGCAGCCGCACGTCTTCTTGTAGGCAAACTGGCAAACTGGCAAACTCTTCCCCAATGACGCATTCCTCCCAGTTCGACTAATGTCCCCTCCCTCCATATATGTCAAAAGGTTCACATCTGACTTCAACCAGCCAAAACTCGAGAAATCCAGTCCAAGGGTCCGGGTGCTTCATGGCATCCTCGATGAGTAGCATCTGCCCCAATGCTGGTATCTCTGAAGCACATGCGCTGCAAATGGCATAGGAGAACGTGGCTGTGAAGTTGATCACCTCATATCGGACGAGATCAGAAGACAGGAAATATGTGGATTTCGCATTGTCGGCGTTTTCTGCCGCGAACGCTAGCAGAGTAAAGCGTTGGCTTTTCTCAAAGTCTGGTCCGTTTCTCTTATCGCATTGGCTTGGGAAGCTCGAAGGGGCCGAAGCTCAAGCCAAACCAAATCGCGGTCCTGAGACCCGGACGGGTCCCTCCTCAGTTGCAGTCAGTGGGATGAGAAAGCTTCCAACATATGTTCTATGTTCTTGCACAAGAGACGTTTCTCTCAGCCTCAGATTTGGAACCCTACCACTCTCTCAGCGCCCCACCAGTCCAGCCTCCAGCTCCGCATCCAGGACCTACACGTGGCACCCGAAAGACTTCGGTGGGCGTTGCCAAGAAGGCCAGCCCTGGAGGCCAGGGACATCCGCCGAGCAGAATCGTTTCAGCAACGGACGTCCAGATGTCTGTGAAGTGCTTGGAAGTTAGTGAAATGTGCGGCAATTGTACCAGCTCAAGCTCGGCTGCACGCCCTCCAGAGGCAAGAATTCAGGCTTTGAGTGAATAGACGCAAATTCTGAAACGCCCCTACTCACCATGAACGTTTAAGGGTACGTTGAGAAAGCGCCTGACTGACATACAATATGAACATTAGCCCCCACATCACACATAATTCCACCCATGTCCAGCCCAACCCCACCCCCAACTGTGCAAGAGCGCGATGCGCGCAGGTACCGCTGTTGTGAACAGTACTCCCTAGCGCCCGCCCGAATACTGCGAAAGAAATATGGTCACCCACGGTTGCAGCCTGCGCCAAATGCTCTGGCACATCTTCAGAAGGACAACTGCAACGTTGAGCCAAGTAGCTGCATCGAAGGCGCTGACAATAGCTTTGGCCAGCTTGTTTGCATCCTCATGCCAGAAAACTGCGTTCGAAACCTGACATCCAAAACGCGAATCTGCCCTGCTCAAGCTGCCTGTGTTTGCATATTATGTTTGTACAATTATACATATCTATACTGTATACTTATACAGAAAGGAATTATGTGCACATCACATCTGGGCAAGGCATCCAGGCACCCCAAGGCCGGTCCTGTGGCACGCTATTTGCCGTCTGCGGCGTCTTGAGGTCTGGCTCCTAGGTTTGGAAGCAAGTGTAGAACCGTTTGCATTCATTTTACAAACTACCTGCCTCTGTCACCGTCAGAAAGCTCCCCACACCAGGGTTTTGGGGCAGCATGAAAGTGGCCAAAAAACCTGAAAACGTCTGCCTACTTTGCAGTCAGCCAAGCAGCGTTTATCAAAATAAAGTAGAGCCTCAGCCGCATCCCAAAATGCGGGTTTGCTTGCCAAGCCTACATGATGCTGGCTCTCACAAGGACCCTTTCACCACGCACAAGAGCCTCTAATGTCTAACCTTACCGACAAAGTCTCAAAAATTGTGTTTAAGCCCCAACCTTTTGTCAAAAAGGGGCCGGAGTGAATCCGACCCAAAGCCAAGACACAAAGCTGGGTGGTATTGCTTCTCAATGAGGAAGCCCCCCTTCAAGATCTGCACCTGCCAGAAACACGCGTTCAAAGCGAGGGAGGACGGTCGCATACGACCCTACCCGCCGGTCACATTTGACCCTACCCTACTTTGGCTTCAAAAACCATGCCAAAATGGCAGCGTAAAGCTCCAATTCCACGACATGGCCACGCGAAACGCGCCGGTCACATTTGACCCTACCCTACTTTGGGCTCAAAAATCAGTGCCAAATGGCAGTACTATGTTGGCCACGCGAAACGCACCGGTCACATTTGACCCTACCCTACTTTGGGCTCAAGCAACATGGCCAACTGGCAAAGAAATGGCAGCATCAAGCTCCAATTCCACGACATGGCCACGCGAAACGCACCGGTCACATTTGACCCTACCCTACTTTGGGCTTAAAATCAGTGCCAAGTGGCAACACTATGTTCCAATTCCACGGCAGGGCCACGCGAAACGCACCGGCCACAAGCGACCCTACCCTACTTTGCGTTCAAGCAACATTGCCAGCTGGCAACGAGATGGCAGCATCAAGCTCCAATTCCACGGCAGGGCCACGCGAAACGCACCGGTCGCATTTGACCGTACCCTACCTGACGGTTTCTTGCCAAATGCGTCACTTTAGGCCTTGAGGCTTTTACATCGCTTTCAGGTATAGTCATCACATCACTTTAGGGTTTTCTGGTTTGCTGTCACTTCTTGAGTTAGTCACCGCATCACTTTAGGGCTTTCTGGCTTGCTGTCACTTCTTGAGGTAGTCACCACATCACTTTAGGGTTTCTGGTGCGCTGCCACTCCTTTAGGCAGTTACCACATCACTTTAGGGTTTCTGCTGCGCTGTCGCTTCTTCAGGTAGTTACCACATCACTTTTAGGGTTTCTGCTGCGCTGTCACTTCAGGTAAAGTCACCACATCACTCTAGGGTTTAGGGTTTAGCTGTCACTTCTTCAGGTAGTTCCCACATCACTTTTAGGGTTTCTGCTGTGCTGTCACTTCAGGTATAGTCACCACATCACTCTAGGGTTTAGGGTTTAGCTGTCAATTTTCTTCAGGTAGTTACCACATCACTTTTAGGGTGTCTGCTGCGTTGTCACTTCAGTTATAGTCACCACATCACTTAGGGTTTTCTGGTTTGCTGTCACTTCTTTAGGTAGTCACCACATCACTTTAGGGTTGCTGCTGCGCTGTCACTTCTTGAAGTAGTCACCACATCACTTTAGGGTTTCTGGCGCGCTGCCACTCCTTTAGGCAGTTACCACATCACTTTAGGGTTTCTGCTGCGCTGTCGCTTCTTGAAGTACTCACCACATCACTTTAGGGTTTCTGGCGCGCTGCCACTCCTTTAGGCAGTTACCACATCACTTTAGGGTTTCTGCGGCGCTGTCGCTTCTTCAGGTAGTTACCACATCACTTTTTAGGGTTTCTGCTGCGCTGTCACTTCAGGTATAGTCACCACATCACTCTAGGGTTTAGGGTTTAGCTGTCACTTCTTTAGGTAGTTACCACATCACTTTTAGGGTTTCTGCTGTGTTGTCACTTCAGTTATAGTCACCACATCACTTTAGGGTTTTCTGGTTTGCTGTCACTTCTTTAGGTAGTCACCACATCACTTTGGGGTTGCTGCTGCGCTGTCACTTCTTGAAGTAGTCACCACATCACTTTAGGGTTTCTGGTGCGCTGCCACTCCTTTAGGCAGTTACCACATCACTTTAGGGTTTCTGCTGCGCTGTCGCTTCTTCAGGTAGTTACCACATCACTTTTAGGGTTTCTGCTGCGCTGTCACTTCAGGTAAAGTCACCACATCACTCTAGGGTTTAGGGTTTAGCTGTCACTTCTTCAGGTAGTTACCACATCACTTTTAGGGTTTCTGCTGCGTTGTCACTTCAGTTATAGTCACCACATCACTTTAGGGTTTTCTGGTTTGCTGTCACTTCTTTAGGTAGTTACCACATCACTTTTAGGGTTTCTGCTGCGTTGTCACTTCAAAAGGCTCCGGTCACAATTGACCCAACCTCACTCTCAAAAGGGGGCCCTTGAGTTGCTCGTTTTTTACAACGGAACAGGGGCCCCGGTCACATACGACCCTACCTCCGGTCACCTTTGTCCCTACTGGATCGTTAGATACATCGAATGCTGCGTTCCAATTCCACGGCAGGGCCACGCGAAACGCACCGGTCACATTTGTCCCTACCTCACTGTCAAAAAGGGGCTCTTCAGTTGCATGTGTTACAACGGAACAGGGGTCCCGGTCACATACGACCCTACCTCCGGTCACATTTGACCCTACCTCATCGTGAGGTAGGGTCAAATGCGACCACGTTGAGGTAGGGTCAAATGCGACCGTCCTGCCTTCAAAGCGATGCAAATTGCCATATATAGCCAGAAATCCACTAAGATCAAACAGCCTGTTGTTCTAACCCCCCACGGGGCCAAGCAATCGTTACACCAGCATTGACCTTAAGCAGAATGAGCGCAATTCATATTATGGCAAGGCCGTGTCACTTTCACATTGGAAGCTACGAGGGCAGTGTTGCGCCAGGGTTTGAAGACGGAATTGCATTCCCGTGGAAGCTCCACAATGTGCTTCGGAAACAAGCACAAGGTTCTTTTAAGAGACAACACGCAAAGTGCGCCACTACTGTTTGTCCAATACACACCCCACGCCCCATGTCTTGCAACCGCGACCCATGGCTTGCAAAGACCTTTCCCCACTTGCTGAAAGACCCGTGTCACAAGGACAAGGACTCAAGGGCAATGCAGAATGTGCCGAGCACGGCGCTGCGTTTGCATGTTCAACTAATTGCGTCAAAGCACTGGTGCATGCCGGCGGCAATTACAGTTTACAGTACAGTGTACGCCGTGGTGTAGCTCAGCATGGATTTGCGCACGTTGGCTTTGTCCGCAGCAGGTATCTTCTGTCGCCAAGGCCATCCTGCACCAGGAAATGGAGACTTTGAAGCAGCGTCGTGCTGCTTTGAAGTGCTAGTCAGGCTGCCAAAGGCCTGTCCGTGGCAGACCTGCTCTTGCTCCAGCGCTCCCAGCAGGTGCGACTGATATCATGCTGCTCGCACTTTTCGTGACGTCACACGACACGCGCGTGCCGTGCCGGACGCGCAACACGCAGAGTCCGCTCGCGCTCTACAAACTCGCGGTTTCCCTTTTTTGTTTCGGAGCCGTGGCGTGCGCACGCACTGCCACTTGTGGCAGGTACAGGTATGTGGCAGCACGTGCCGAAGCATGCACCGGCTAACAAGAAACGCGCTGGCCGCGAATGGCAAGCATGCAAGCCGATACAACCCAGGCACAAACGCTTGTGATCGACATTGCGCTAGGCACCCAATCACGCATGCCATTGGGTGCGCAAATACGCCTGAACTGAGAAACAATGGGTTCATACATTTGAGAACTGATCGCGCACCCGTCGATCCAAGCAGCTGCCTTCAGCTGTCATCAGACTGAAGTCACACTCAAGCGATCTGGGAGGCAAAAGACCAGCTAAGACAAATGAAACCCTTACAGGAATTTACCGCACACCCATCAACCCAGGCCTCTGAAACACAAGAGAATTGCTGACAGGAGCCCCGCCCCACCAGAACCCTCGCAGCTCAAGCTCAAGCTGTTTGGCAACTTACCAAACTAACCTCAGCTCCGCACATACTGCTTCTTGATCTGGCTGAAGCAGTTGTACCTAGGATGCGGCTTACTATTCCAAGCAACCCTGCAAGAAAGTGCACTGCTTGCTCAGCTGCCCTAAAGCAGCTCCCTTGCGTGAAACATGCAATGCTTGACTTTCGGAGGGTAGCACAAGAAGTTGCGATTGCGCTTTTGCTTTGAGGGCTTTGGCCAGAAAGCTTCTGCACCCTTGGCGACCCGCTTCCTGAGGTTTTGGGGGGAGATGCCCAAGTCCTATTTAACTGTGAAGCTCATGCCTACTCTCACGCATCTTTTGCACTGGTTAGGGTCAAGAGGTTGGCGGAGCGTTTTGAATGCAACCAGCTGCGCAGATGCCACACAGCTGTTCTCCGGGTCCTGAGAGTAAGGGTAGTCGCTCATCCTAAGCGAGGCCGAAGATCAAATCGATCAATTGCTTGACGGCGAGGATCCGAGGAATGCTTGCGCTGTCAGTCTACCGCTAGAGCTCTGGGTGCCACACCCAGGGATGACCTTGAGGTTGCGCCGATGCGCCTCCAAGCCCAAGCAGCCGTGCTTGAACCCCATGCGTAACTTCATGGAACAGATCACCAAGATGTCTGCAGGTTCAGACTTGAACTGTTTCAACTACGCCTGACCTGTGGTTTGGAGCAGGAACAAAACAACATTAAAACATAGTTTTGCTCATGTGTCAGGCAAGAATGGTCAGCCTTTGGGCTAAACACAAACACAATGCGTCCGGTCTGTTTTGAATTGTGAGAGATCTTGTGCATGGCACGAGAATGGCCCCATGTATCTGCCAGGCAGCTTCGTCAAGGAAGTCCTGGTGGTTGAGCTCCGGGTCGTTTCCTGAGTTAGCGAGGGCCACTACCTCACGTGCAGCTCAACAAAGCAAAGTACTCTTAAGCAACAAAATGTCGAGAAGAAGACAAAATGCATATGCCGCTCTTGCCAGTCGTGCGGGCGTCCGTAGAGCCGAACAGCATTTGCACCTGCGCTAAACATGCATAGCATGGAATCTGCTCCCAAGAGAAACTGGAGAAGAGAGCCCTCAGGGCCGTCAAACCACTGAAGATCCCTGGCTCACGTTGCAACGTTTCCACGCGCCTAGAGATCGCATGATGCGCAGATCCCCGCGCCCAGAAGGACCCCACAAAGGCTTTGAGCTGCTCGAAAACCAGTCGTCGAATGACAGCGACTGCCTTGCCGGGAAAGTCCGTTTGGCCGTTTTAGGGCCCAAACTTGCCATTCCAAGAATATCCAAGAGTCCTCAGAGCTGGCCAATATTCGAATCGAAGATGCAAGCCAAGGTGCACGCTTCTTGTGGGCACCGGGCAGTAGCTGATGCCTTTCAGCAGCCCCAGCGGCTTCTGGATTTGCTGCTTCCTCGGGCCGCTCGCTTGAGCCAGAAGCCAAGCAATTTATCTGTGAGTTGATATCTGGGGCAATACATCATGTTCCAACCATAAATCATAGGCTAGCTCTCGGCGACATGGACCTTCAAATGGAATGGCGCTTCTTCAAATCCGGAGGCTGGCAGACTATGAGGCAAGCTGTGACGTGCAGCTGCTTTGCAAATGAGCATCAGCATGTGAGATGAGGAATCTTCTGGAATACTCCTCATTGGCATGTTTGCGGCATGCCTTCAAGCTCCAAAGTGCCCCAAGCAGTTCCACGACAAGAGAGGGGCTGAAAATTGCACTGAATGCTGCGAGTTGTGCAAAGCTTGCTGCAGAACAAAAGTGACACGGAGATTCCGACATCCAACCTGGCAACATGGCACCAGAAGGCCCAGGCACACTGGGTCAGGCAGCGACAGCCCCTGCCAGGGAACCGGATGTCAAAGGGAGTGGACTGTAAGGGTGGGTAGTTGAGTCACGTTGACTCTTGTGGTGATCTATGCAAGGTTGGTCAGCACTTTTTGGTATACTGCGCTTTCAGAAATGATAAACTGGAAACCTGTGGCATATTCCAAGAGACTCGTTGGTGAACCAAAAGCCAGTCGAAGCACATCTAGAAATCCCCGTTCCCACTTTGAAGAAGCTGATTGACTGATATGTAGATCCTTGGAACTGCGTTCCGATGTGCCTTCTACCGAAATCAGATGGCGATAAGGGAATCATAGCGAAGTGTGTGACCTGCACATGTCAGAGGATAAGTACTCTGTTTGAGCCCCGCTTTGGCATCCCTGCCTGCCGTTTGTGAATGGTGGATGTGCTGGTTGTAGATAGGCTGGTGGTAGATGTGCGGGTGATCCTTTGCATCAGGGAGGCGAAGTCCGACCAAATCAAGCCTGAGTGGCCTTCTCTTATGCGTAATTGTTTCTTCTGTGAGACTTCTGCTACCTCAGCGCCTCGAAGTTTGGCCTTTGCACCAGCGAAGGCGCTGGCACTCTATCTTTCCAGCCAAGGAGCGTTGTAGTGAATGTGGTGGTGCGGGTGAGCATTGTGGTCGTGGTCGTTGTGGTCGTGGTCGTTGTGGTTGGAATTGGATTTGCAAGCAATGGATGGGGCACAGCCGTGCTTGTGAAGACGGTCCTGGTTCACTGTCACCAAGCATTGGCCAAGCAGCAGGGATATGGAAAGGCATCTTTCACAACAGTCCTGGCTTTTGGCAGTGGCGGCTTGACAAATGAGCCATGCAAATATGAGCAATTTGCGGTAACCCTAAAGGACGCGGGAAACTGAGAGAGTTCCCCGGTTGTTGTGGGCCTGTTGATGGGCCACCCATGTCACTGGATAGATATTGATATGACTTATTCCATAACATAAATGACGAACGTACTTCAGTTGAAGTGAATGCTGTTGCTCAACCAACTTGCAAACTCATCCCAAGAGTATGACATGTTGCAAAACACCCATCCATCCAGCTCTTGTTGTTTTCCGATTGAAACTGCAGTGCCTAGGGCTCTCAAATCAGGCATGATTGGAACTGCATGACAAAGGCCCAGGACTACGACGCTAGGAGCACATCTCTCCTGGAACTTGCGGTTGCCATGGATGCAGCTGCACTAGGCAGGGCCTCTCGTCGCACGGAAAGTACCGGCAGCTCACGTCTCAAAAAACCAAGGACTTCTGCTTTTTTCAGAGATGCCCCGCGCTTTGCTAGGCACAACTTTAGCCCAAACTCCAACGTCCATCATCGAATCTTCCCCTTTCTGCTTCGGGTTTCATGTGGCCCAATTGCAATTGGGCCCTATTGTCTTGGAGGGCAACGTTGACCCTCTCCTCTCAGAACAGCATATTTCTTGCCAAGCTGCTAGCCGCCCAACATGGCCATCGGACGCCCGCTCCTGCCAACAATGCTTGGCCAAAGTGGCACAACATGGCACCATGCATCAATGCTCAAGAATGCAATATTCATGCAAAGCTTCCACTCATGACCTGGACACAAACACCCTTCACTACTTCCATCGGTCTCAGGCCTTCGCTTCAAGCGAAAGGCATGACATTCCACAGCCTCAGGCAACATTCCCGAGTGCACGCATTCCTGGCTTAGTCCAGGAGATGCCCAGGTCAAGCTCATCTGACACCCTGATGATTAGCAAGCATGGAATGCACCAAAGTTGCATCAAATGAACTGACTTGATCCGAGCGGCAAAAGAGCTTCCTCGGAAAAGTGCAGAAAGAGAGCACAAAATGCCAGGTCACACCGGCTCATGTCTTGCAGTATGTGTTAACGGCTGCGCAAGTTCAGGCGCTTGGCTAGGGTCCAGGTGTCTACCATGCTGCCAAGAAGCTTTCGGTCCGACCACCGCGCGACCCAATCGTCTGCATCCTTGCTGCAGTCGAAATGTTCGCAGCCTGCGCCGCGGCCTTGGTTGCAATGAATCCCGCCCCGAATCGCATCTGCTTCCCTGTTCCTTGCAAAGCTTATGGCGATGGCAGGAACAAACCGCAAAGTGACAAACTGAATTGTTCTCTGCATTCCAGACTCAGCTGGCCTTCAACTTCTGTCATCGTAAATTTCACACTGCTCTGCGGTGATAGCAGAAGTGCTCAGGCTATCAAGGAATATCCTTGCAGCCAGAATGCAAGCAGCTGCGGATGTCGACGGAGGGCTTTGACCTTAGGCCACACAAGTCAGTCAGGCACACCACGCAAGGCTGCCAAGGCCGGTGATAGCATCACAAATAGAATGTATCTACCACTGCTCTCAATGGCATGCAAGCCCGTGAAATACTAGCTTGCAACCCGGGCAGAAAATACAAAGCCAAACCCATTCTCAGAACCAACTCCACAAGCAAACTTGCAGCAAAGCAATATGCAATCCTATCAAAGGGTGGTAGCTAAGTGCCAATTCGGATTGGTGTTGGGTTCAAGTCTAGTTGCAAAGTACTGTTCACTGCATTTCAGAGCTTCTATTGGTACCTGGCTATCGCTTTGTTTAGATTTACCCTTGCGTCACAGACTTTGACGAGGCAGGATTGTGAATTGGCCGCCGCAGGGTTGGCTTTGATGGTGTCGTGTAGTGTTAAATCTGCCTTTGGGTTGAGCTCAAGTCTGATAAGAATCTATCTAGCTGGCATAAAGCACTGTTGAACGGCCCGTGCACATAGCATTTGAACTGTGGCTTGCAGAAAAAGTGCTGCCATCATGTTCCCGCCTTCACAAATCCAAAGTGCCCTGCGAAAAGAGACCAAACCAGGCTTGGCGGTTGACCTTCATGCTTCTGCGAACATGCGCTCGGACTATAATCAGTTGCCTCCTACTCAAAGTCGAGAAGAGTCAAGTGTTGGCCACATAGACCTATCAACTGTCAAAGCATAGTCGAACATCTCAGAAACAAATGTTGGGCCACGGCGCGCACATAGAGAAATGTTGCTGTCGGGGATGCAGTCATTGTTGCCACTGTCTTTCCAAGAACAATTGCAAGCTTCGCCAATAAAAACAACTCGCTGCCAGTGCTGAAATACCGTGGCCGCGTCTTAATGCCTGTCTGTGATCCAAGTCAAATACTGTTAGCACGTAGTCCGCAGTGAATCAGCTACGGCGTTGTGTCAAACTTACATGAGAACTGAAAAGCATTCTAGAAAGAGTCAGTGGAAAACCACATGAAGCAAGTCATTTGAAACGGCGGAAGCTCAAACCAAAGCCCATTTTGAATATGATCCTCTAATAGCAGGTAAAGGCAAGCTACCCCATGCCCTTTACAAGAACATTCAAATGCGATCTCCAAATGGAATGTTCAATAAAAGAGCAGACACCTGGATTGCAGAGCAGTCAAGTTTTGTGGAAATCGTTGATTGCTGCAATCAGCTCCCTGTTTGAACAGTCCGAGCGCCTGCGAGTCACAGGGCCTCCAGGCGTCAAGCAACCACAGCCAGGCGACTGTACCAGAGCAGGCATGCTGCGACAGCTCCGCCGAAAAGACAACCAAAAACGAAGCCACTCCAGGAAGCGCAAGGTGGAGTCAAGGCCTCGAGATCAAGGCCTAAAACAAATAAATGGGTCGTCCTCCCCCCGTATTTCCCGTCTTGGCTGATGATATGTTCAGCCTTCTTTTTGGCGCTACGCGGTCGTTGTCGTTGTCGTTGTTGTTGCTGCTGCTGATGCTGTTGCTGCTGTTGATGTTGCTGTTGCTGTTGCTGTTGCTGTTCTTGTTATCCTTGTCCTTGTCGTTGTCGTTGTGTTGCTGTTGCTGTTGCTGTTGCTGTTGCTGTTGCCGTTGTTGTTGCGGTTGTGGGTCGTAGGTGGGCGGCGCACTTTGCGGCCCTGTGAAAATGTTTTCTTTCGTTCAGTGATTTCGTGCAGCAGTGCAAACTTGTTGGCCAAATCAGAGGCACACCCTTCGCAGTGATCCCCGGCAGCCGCGCAAACTTGATAGCCAAATGATATGCACACCCGCCACAGTGATCCCCCAGCAGCAAAAGCACGCTAGCCAAATAATAGGCACACCCGCCACAACGATCCCCTGCAGCAGTGCAAACATGCTAGCCAAATGGTAAGCGCATCCGCCACAGCGATCCCCCGCCGCAGCGCAAACATGTTAGCCAACTGATAAACCCGCCAGAGCGATCCCCTGCAGGTTAGCCAAATGATACGCATTGACCCCCTGCCGTTGCGCAAACATGTTAGCCAAAACCATAACAACACCCGCCACGGTGATCCCCCGGAGCAGCGCAAACCATGTGCGTGTGTGTTGCGTGTCGATGTGTTTGTGTGTGTTGTTCGTGTGCGCGTTTGCGCTCACAACAGGCTTGATAAAAACCGTAGTTGCGTGCCGCTGACGTTCAATTTGCCGAGGGCCGCGAGGAACACCGTCTACCTTGTCGTTGTTGTTGCTGTTGCTGTTGCTGTTGCTGTTGCTGTTGGCGTTGCTGATGTTGCTGTTGCTGCTGTTGTTGGTGGTGTTGTTGCTGTTGCTGTTGTTGTCGTGTCGTTGTTGTTGTTGCTTGTTGTTGTTGCTGCCAATGGCGCTTCTCGCCACTGTGGAACAGTCTTCTGCGCCTGCCTGGCTCACAGGTCGGGTTGTCACGCCGTGTCCGCGCACGGTCTCCCTGCGCTGGTCTCTTGCCTTGCTTCTGCGCATTGCCGGAGTCTCTTTGCCTGCTGCGATTTCCGTTTTGGCTTTCGTCCTCGCAGCATCTGTGGATCCCTTCCGCTCTCCAATTCACTTTGCCCCTTTGTGTGACTTTCATTCTGATCTACGGCTGTCTTGGGACTCCTGCTTTGCCCGTGTCTGTGTCTTATTGCCCTCCGTGGTTTCTGCTGCTACGCTTGTGTTGTCTTGGCGCGCGCTGGGGCTCCGTCAGCTGTGGCCATGGACGCCGCCACTTCGATGCAAAAGACTGAAACGCTTGCTCTTATTGAAACTAATCTCGTGAAAATGGACAACCCTTCCAAGGCGGCGAGAAGCGCCCTTGCCGTGTCGTTGCTGCTGTTGCTGCTGCTGTTGTTGCTGTTGGTGTTGGCGTTGGCGTTGCCCTTGGCAGTGTTGCTGTTAATATTGGCTCCGCTGCTGCTCTTGCTGTCGCTGTCCCTGTCGCTGTTGCTGCTGTCGCCGTCGCTGTTGCTGTCGCTGTTGCTGTTGCCATTGCTGTTGCTGTTGCTGTTGCTGCTGCGGCTGTCGCTGTTGCTATTGTTGCTGCTACTGCTGCTGTCGCTGTTGTTGCGTTGCTGTTGTCTGCTGCGGCGGCTGCTGCTGCTGCTGCTGCTAATGCTGTCGCTGTCACTGTTGCTGTCGCTGTTGCTCTTGCTATTGCTATTGCTGTTGCTGTTGCAACTGTTGCTCCTGTAGCTCCTGCTCCTGCTGCTGCTGCTGCTGCTACTGCTGCTGCTGCTACTGTTGCTGTTGCTGTTGCTGCGCTTGTGGCAGTTGCTGTTGTTAATAGTGTTGTTGCTGTTGCTGTTGCTGTTGCCGTTGCTCTTGCTGTCGCTGTCGCTGTTGCTGTTGCCGTTGCTGTTGCTGTTGCTGTTGCTGTTGCTGTTGCTGTTGCTGTTGCTGGTGCTGCTGCTGCTGTTGCTGTTGCTGTTGCTGTTGCTGTTGCTGTTGCTGTTGCTGTTGCTGTTGCTGTTGCTGTTGCTGTTGTTGCTGTTGCTGTTGCTGTTGCTGTCGTTGCTGTTGTTGTTGTTGCTGTTGCTGTTGCTGTTGTTGCTGATGGTGCTGTTGCTGTTGCTGTTGCTGTTGCTGTTGCTGTTGCTGTTGCTGTTGCTGTTGCTGTCGCTGTTGCTGTTGCTGCTGCTGCTGCTGCTGCTGTTGATGTTGCTGTTGCTGTTGCTGTTGCTGTTGCTGTTGCTGTTCTTGTTATCCTTGCCCTTGTTGTTGTCGTCGTGTTGCTGTTTGTCAAGAGATGGCAAGGTGACGTCCCGTGGGACGCTGTACACCGAGCCTCAAGCTGAATGTACTCAATCACGTAGAAAGGGTATACGGCCAAACCGTTATAGCCAAACCAGTGCAAACTGTTGTAAGGAGTAATGTCCAGTAACCACACACACGTCCGATATCAGCAGATCGATCACAGGCGAACGTTGTTCATGCAAGACCTTGAGCCCTACTTGTAACTTGAGCCAAACGTGGCGTCCAATGGAACACTTCAATCAACAAGAACATGGACCTCAGAACGGCTTCCCAATTTAGGCACGGGGCCAGGAGGGTTTTAACATCCCCCATTTGGGTCGCACTGTTCATCATGCGGTCCAAACATCACAACAAGTCCCAATGGCCACGGCTCCGATTACGAAACTGTGTCGAACATTCTTTCATTCTCTACTGCAACGCCGTTCATTCATTGTGAAACCTAGCCGGGTTCGATTTAATCGAAACATGCATCCGCAGATCGTGATACATCTCTATACACGGAGGCAGAGGCATTATGCCTTGCACCACAACACAGCCATCGGATATCCCAGCTGCCGCATTTGCGCATCGAGCAGCTGTCATTCATAGAAATGGGTTGGCCAAAGAAATCCAGAGCAGTGCGTGATCACAAGCCACCCGTACATAACCGGCAAAGAAAATGGCGAGCAATATGTATGCAAAATAGCCATTCCAGATACCATGAAAATATAAGGAAACGAAATCATCCATGAGGTAATAGTGCACATCCATGAACATCCGGAATGTCATAGCCGTCGGAATATGTAAACACATACATAAACATGATCATTGGACGAATCACTTCATTCCATAGTTCATCCCATCGTAGTGAAATCAATATGTTGCTGGCGATGGATGGGGTCCGGCCCGCATCATGCCGTAAATGCAACGTTGATCCACTTCTGCATCACATAGGTCGGCCCACAATGGCCAGCTTAGTGATGCGTCGACGGAATTCCTCGTCCAAATTGTGTTGGGCTTCTTGTGCTCGGAGCTCTTCTGCAAGCCAATGTCCTTTCCGGGCGCACCAATCAAGCAGGGGTCCGTCGCACTTGCCCGGGTCAGTGGCCACGATAATAGCGCTCACGTTGACCACATATCCATGTCTACCAAGGTTGAATCCGGTCCTTGCGAATGATATGTAATTGCAGTTGAATGCTAGAGAGAAGCACCTGTAAACGATGTCCCCCACTGGATGCCTGCGTTCGCTGACCAGTAGCTTCATTTCATCCTTGGTGATGTCGACGATCTTTGCCGCAATCCACAATTTGTAGAAAACGTACAGCCCCTCACATTTGTACGCCAAATAACGAATGTGTTGGGCGCGCTCCCCGACCGTCCTGTAGGCCCTTGTCCGAACATTCCGAGATTGAGAAATCTTATACTCAGTAGATGGCAAAATGATACCATCCCGATCAAACTCAGTGATGTTGGGATAACGTCCCAAGTCATTGTGGTATGGACACGCGGGAATTCCTTCGAGTGCGGCATCAATCGCTCTCTTCTCGCCAGCCTCGAACATCGCCCACAACCTTGACATTTTTGTAGCGCAATGAACCCTGCCATGTATTGAGCCTCACACGGCTCATCCATGCAGATTGCCATCCTGTGGGAGTTGATGATATCCCGCGCAGCCATGTCGTTGTCGCGATAGTCCCAATCATTGTCCTCTTCTTCGGACACGTAGCCGGATGTGTCCCCTTGTGTGCCCATATCATCATCCTCTTCGGGATCATCTTCCATTCCACCACTCTTTTCCTGTGCTGCCGCATTGTCGTTCGCTTCCTCCTGTGCCCGCCTGGCATCTCCGGACACGTTGGGTTTATGATCATCATCATCGTCGGAGTCGATGTTGACGCAGAATCTCCCAGTGGAGATCAGTTGCGCCTCACACTCCAGGCATATGCAGAAGCACGCAGGAATTGCAGTTGCGCAAGACGGACAAATTCGGCATCTGAGCCCTTCCCATGTCGCGTCATTCAGGATGATGGTTTTGCTGATCTCATCTCTGATCTCGTTGGTCAGAGCTCCCAACTCTTCATGCTGCCGTCCCGAAACAGCTTGCAGGCACGATCCACCATCTCTCGAACGTAGTGTAGATTGTCGGCGCCCGCCTCTGTTTCCGGCGATTCCTCGATGACCTTATTCATATACGGCCTAGACTGTTAGCATTTTGTGGCGCAAGACCGTGCAAATGTCCCTGGGTTAGGGTTTGGGGTCCTCGGCAAACCAAACGGGTTGGGCGGACCAGTATCAAACTCCAACGCGTTGGGCGAGCCACCCAAACGGGGCAGGTCAGGATGTCTGACCTCACACACGGCAGCCTGACAGGGGGAGGGCTGTTTGGGGGGTGAACCACATGCCGATTCCAAGCAAAACCATGCAACACCATGCAAAAACCATGCAAAATCATGTCATGCAAAATCATGTCATGCAAAAAGCATGCAAAAAACGTGCAAAACGAGCTATTACTCCGGCCCGTATATAGATATACGGGCTAGAGTAATAGCATTTTTCAGCGCAAAACCGTGCGAAGCAGGCTATTCTCCCCGGCTGTAACTTGCACAGATGGCCTGGGAGAATGTGAGTCGCCAGGCAAAA